ATATCAATGGTGGAGTTCCCTTTAAAATCTTAAATGATTCCCTTTGAGCTAAATTATTATTGACCTGTTTACCTTACATCTAGAATAAAAATTAACTTGATTTTGTTTCTTCGTAGAGAATCATGGAGTTAAAAAGACACGAAACAACCCACATTCTCGTTTTTGTGGACGAGGCCGGGTGTTGAATCTGTCCAAAGGCCGGAGACGTGGTCACAATCTCATTGGACACCGAGCCACAACTGACACACCAGGCCAACGTGGGGCCAATATTACAATGTGTGCTGCCATTTCAGAGAATGGTGTGAGCACACATATTCCACAGATTGGGCCCTAATACCCAACTTCTCCTGGCCTTCCTAAACGCACTTTACAGAGACCTGATTCCAGAACAAGAAAGAGGTTTAGTTAGACCACATTTGCCTAATCATGTTGTTGTCTGGGATAATGTCAGCTTCCACCGAACCAACATTGTTAGGGACTGGTTTGCTGCACATGAAAGGATAACAGTGGAGTTCCTTCCACCATACTCCCCATTCCTAAATCCAATAGAAGAGTTTTTTTTAGCATGGAGGTGGAAAGTATATGATCATAGACCACAAGATCAGATGTCTGTGTTGGATGCCATGAATGCTGCATGTGAGGACATCACAGCTGATCATTGCAGGGGATTGGTGCGGCATTCAAGGAGATTTTTTCCCCCCGGTGCATGGCAATGGAAAACATCAGATGTGATGTTGATGAACATCTTTGGCCTGACCAACAAGAGCGACAGGATGTCCACCAAGAATCATTTTTTTTCATGGATGTTATTTTGTAGTAATTTGGTATTTGTGGTAACATATGAAATGTACTGTAATTGGACAAGCAAGATTTCACTTTACATGTAATACATTCGTTCAAAAATAAATGTACACTCTAAAAAATGCTGGGTTGTTTCAACCCAATGTTGGGTCAAATATGGACTAACCCAACTGTTGGGTTAAATTTTGGTTACATTTTTAAATGAGCTTTTTAACCCAACAGTTGGGTTAGTCCATATTTGACCCAACATTGGGTTGAAACAACTCAGCATTTTTTTAGAGTGTACTGTATAAATACAAATGTTTTTTGTTCTATGTACTATTGACTCTTCTCAACAAATATCAGATTTTTTTTTTCTATAAAACCTTAATTTCCATGGTTGACTGTCATGGTGAAAAAACAACTAAACATTTTGACCAGTGTGGCTCACAGGATGACAAAAATACTTTATATTTTGGTGGCCTTGGCCAAATTACTGACACGATAACTAGGTTTTGAAGCATGAATGAAATGTTTTGGGCGAGTAACTACATTTTGCAGACATGCAATAAAGTTCTGAAGTTCCAGCAAACAGTTGTGACATTTGCACTCACAGTTTAGAGCATGTTAAGACTGTTTCGAAAAATGTGCCAAAGCAATTGAGAAAAACTGTAATGTATTGCATTGAGTTTTGTGTGAATGATTGGCAACGGCAACACGTCACGTTTGTGGTGCTGTGATAGATGAGTGAAATGCACAGACAGACTTTAGCTGGGTGTTGAATGAGGAGTGCTCCTACCCGAGTGGGCGTGGGTGAGTTTGGGCTTTATTAACGCTGCGAATGGGCTTCCTTCAGCACGGACCTCACTTGTTGAGTGATCTCTAGGAGGACAGTCTAACGCGAACCTGACACACCTAAACACTTGACACCTTGACGACGGCGATGATGAAAGGATTTGCGCTCTTCATCTGCGTGTTCTTCACAGTTGTTCAGTCCATCACGTGCGAGGCGAACAGGATAGACGCGCGCATAAAGCACGAAAACGACGTGGCGCACCACAGCTCTGCCATACCAACAGGTAACATGTTTTAATTTAAATGAACATAAATATAGTCATTTGAGCAGCAGTCGATATTTAATATTTAATTCAATACAACGATAGAACGGTGCATAATAAGAATGTATATATTGAATGTATTCCTACATTAAAATATTATAAAAAAATAACGATGGTAAATTAGAATTTTGCATAATTATATTAAATGATAAAAATAGGTATATTTCAGTTAAAAGTAATAAAAATATAAGAATTTAACCAGCAGCCTAAAACGAACATATAATATTCAGTTTACGATAATGATAGTTACTGTATATAATATAATGCATATACATATATATATACACACACACACACACATACACATTATGTTTTTAAAATGATTATATTAAATTATAATTATTTAAAATAGTTATATTAAATGATATAATAGGGATATTTTAATTAAAAAGAATAAAAATATAGTAATATAACCAGCTGTCTATAACTAACATTTCGTATTACTATGATACTGTTTACTGTTATGTTACTGTACATAATATTCATGTATGTAATTGTCTGTATCCACATATTATTACATTATATTATGCAAAGTAATTATATTTGAATTCAAATGAATAAATATATATTAATTTAACCAGCAGCCTAAAAGCATATTCAATTTAGTATAATGATATGAGTTACTGTTTACTCATACTGTTACTGTATATAACATAATATGCTTTATGTATCCAGATATTATTATTTTATATTAAAATGAATTATATTTCAATTCAAATGAATTAAAAATATATAACCAGCAGCCTAAAACAATCATTTAATATTCAGTTTAGTATAATGATAGTTATTGTTTAGTATTATTGCTGCAGTTACTGTTTGTAATATAAAAAATACAGCTGTGTGTATCTGCATGTTATATTATTTATAAAATAATTTGATGTATTTTAATTCAAATGAATAGAAATATAATGATTTAACCAGCAGCCGAATACCATAATTTAATTTTCATTTAGCATGACAGTTACTTTTTATAATATAATGTGTATACATATTATATATCATATTGATAATAACAGTTGATTAATTTAGCACAAGTATAGATTTATTCAATAATTTTTGTATCGACTACATTTGTAATGAAATGAAGAAAAAGTGTACACCTGATCTGCTTAACTTGCTTTGCAATGTTTACATGTTTGTGTGTGTGTTCTCCAGAAAAAGACGTTTTTCTGATTTACCATGCCTTCTGATGATGTTTCATGTCTCACTACTGATCACAAGACGTTAGATCATTCACCATGCCACCTGACAACGTGTTGCCTTTCACACGTACTGTAATCAGGCCAGTATAAACATGCTTTACAAACACAAAGCCTTCTTTTCTTCTCTGGGATTTGGAGCCACTGTCAACGTCACTAAAGAGGCTAAAGCTCCAGTGAAAGGCTCATTATTTTCAGCAAACGTCTCATGTGAACAGGCAGATGGGAAAATCTACCACTGTCTCTTTCAAGTGCCACCTGGGATTCTTCCACTTAAGTGTGAAACGATACAATGTCGAAAACGCAAACCCTATGTATGTCTTAATAGTCCTAATTCAATGCATATGATCTGTGCGTCCCAACAGGAGTGTGGAATCAGGAGAAGCCAAAGAGACTCTTTGCCAGGACTCGCTATCTGTCCCAGCAGAGAAATCCCGTGGTGGTACGTTCCACACATCACACACTCTCAGAAAAAAAGGTACAAAAGCTGTCACTGAGGTGGTACCTTTTCAAAAGGCACACCTTTGTACCTAAAGAGTCCATATTGGTACCTTAAAGGTACAGTACATATAAGGGCCTTTCGCACTACAGGAACCTTTTCATAGTACCAGAACTAATTGTGGAACTACCCACTTTTTGGCGTGTTCGCACCGCCGGAACTGGGTGCGATTTTAGTACCGGACTGCCTTTTTCGAGAACCAAATTAGCTCCTACTCCGGAGCAGGGTCTAACCAGCACAACTGGTACTAACCGTGATGTAAGTAGACATCGATTGGCCAAACGCGTATGAAAACGCCCTCACCCGCCATGATTTACAACGCCCTGTAAACATTGTGTCAACTTATTTCGCAAGTATGGAGAACAGCGATAGATGGACGGACGCTGAAGTGCAGGCACTTGTAGCAAATGTAGCACTGCCAGTTGTCGTTGGAGATTCTTAGTCCTCCTTTCCGTTCTTTCAATCGCTTTACGTATACGTCGACTTTCCATGTCCATTATTGTGAAAGCCGCGAGACACAACAAAAACACAGCTCCGATCACAGCGTCCTCCATCCTCCTGTTGTTAATGTTGTTCTTCTTTGTTTCTGTTGTTGAATGTCGCGCACAAATGACGTCGCTGTCGACCGGTTCCTAGTACACACTCTCGGTGCGAATGCACCCCTTTAAATGGTACTGGGAAATAGTTCGCGCAAAATCGTCCCAGTACTTTAGTACTGTCCATTTAGTTCTGGAACTAAAGCGGTGCGAAAGGCCCTATTAAGTGTACATATTAGTACCTAAATGGTACCCCAGTGACAGCTTTTGTACCTTGTTTTCCTGAGAGTCCACCGTGTTATTTACGATCTCCTAAAACGTGCACCTCAATATAACAAACCCAACATTGTTCAAGTGGACCAGTGCACATCTGTCCTTTTGCAAGAGCAAGAATATAATGTTTCTTCTTGGAAGTCGAGTTAATCCTTTTTACATTAAAAGCCTTGAGTAAACAGAAATGCATTAGTGGTTCTTTGCTCTGTTTATTCGTTTCTCATGAAACTATGTGTCCTCCAGAGACCTAAGCCCAGGCCTGAGGTGGTTTCTCCAGCGCGGCACTGTGCCGGTCTGATGGAGAGCTGCTCCTCGCTCACTCCCTGCTGTGACCCATGTGCTTCCTGCCACTGTAGGCTCTTCAACACCATCTGTCACTGCTGGAGACTCGGACACCTCTGCCCCAAGAAAACCTAATGACCCCAAACGCACATCGGTGCTTCTCAGCTGGTTTTACTCTAGCACTGCACATTGGACAGCAAATGTTGTTTATTGTACAAAAAGAAAGTCATAAAAAGTTGTTTATTAGTTTGTTCCCAAATATTTCTTGAAGTCTGATGGTATCTTGTTCCCAGCTTTCAATAATTTACCACACAAAACCATTTTTGGTTGTTTTTTGATGATGACACATCTGTCTAATTTGATTAGCTTCTACCTAAATTAATTTGGCCCAAAAAACTGTAGAGTTTTTAACTGTAGAGTCAGTTACGTCCTTTTTAAATATAAAAAAAGTACTTACAGTCTGTGAGTCAGAACAGCCGGCAGTGTAGTCTACTCTACCAGAATCAGGAAACAGTCCTCCATAAAATGTGCTGCACACATCGGAATATTTGGGTTGAACTGTTCTGGAACAGTGTTGTAAATACAACTTAACCACTGATTTCTAGTCGTGTCCTCTTTTGGAAGGCTAAACAAAGTAGTTTCGCTTTCACAACGAAACACAGCATCACACACGGCGGGCTAGAGTGAGCGGAGGCCGGGGGATAGAGTGAGGAACGGCCGGCGGGCTGAGTGAGCGGCGGCCGGTGGGCTTGAGAACGGCGCGGCTGGCGGGCTTGCGGCAACCACATGTGACGACCCCGGGCTGGACTCCACTTTGTCCAAGGTTGAAAGCTGATCCGGTGATCCACAGCGTGAAGTTGATGTATTCCCTCAGCGACCAGCACGGATCAGCTCCAGGCATGACGAAGCGGATATCGTCCTCTTTTGGAAGACCAAACAAAGTAGTTTCGCTTACACAACGAAACACACAGCGTCTTCACGACATGGCGGCGGCGGCAGCAACAATACTACAGCGAGAATAAAAGTTACACCTTCTTTCTTTGCGTGAACATTTGGGCGGCGTTATGCAAATCTTCCCACATAGTGAGGTAGACATGTGGGGGCGTGTTAGAACAAGCCGTTTTAGGTAGGTGTGACTGACTCTTAACTTTTATAAAGAATATCTCTTTGGATTTGAGACTTTAGTCTTTGCAACTTTACAGATCTTCTTTATGCACCAAGAGCTTGTAACACTCAAAAATTTAAATTGCATCATATGACCCCTTTAAAAGAATATGCCATAATGTTGCTAACCACAGAAATTATTTTGACTCATCTCTTGTTTTCTTTAAAACAAGCAGACATTGATGCTACTTTGAGGCACTTACAGTCGAAGTGAAAATTTAAAAGCAGTGCTATGAAGTTTATGATTTTATAAACTCTCTTCTGTTAAAAACGTCTACATTATTGGAGCTGTGAAGCTGTTTAAATCATTTTTATAGTCATTTAAGGTTTTAGCGTTTACAAGTTGTAAAACTGGAAGTGACTGTAGACAGAAAAGGTTAGTAAGTGATATTTTCAGACTGAAATCATATAAACACACATGTTGTTTATGTCAATATTTACCAATTGTCTCCATTCATTTTTTTTTAAATAAATTGTAACCAGTTGTAGTCAGTGTAACCCAAAATGTCTGCTTTTTTAAAGAAAAAGAGGGACGAGTGGAAATTCATATTTGTGGTAATCAACATCACAAATGCCGTTGAATCTGGAATATTCCTCTAATAAAACAAATAGAAAGCATTTTGGTTGCTCTTTACGATAAGGTTTCATTTGTTAACTACATTCGTTAACATGAACTTGCAATGAAATTGACTATTTATTCATCTTAGTTAATGTTCATTTCAACGTTTACTAACAACTTATCAAAATCTAAAGTTGTTATCTGTTAATATTATTAAATGCAGCGGTGCTAACATGAACTAACAAAGAACAGTTGCATTTTTTTGTTAACAAAGATTAAGTACTTTAACAAATGAATAGCTCATTATTAGTTCATGTTAATTAATGCATTGTCTAATGATAAATAATGGGACCTTATTTTAAAGTGTTACCAGCATTTTCATTTTTTTTGCATTTAGCAGATATTTGTTCAGAACAGACCTCCAGATCCACTCCATGAGAACCACTGTTATATATATATATATATATATATATACAGTATATGACACTGACCATGACACTCTTGTGACTCATTCACCGACTGGAGATGTTATTACAGTTCACTCTTGTAGAATTCATGCTGGTGAAGTTTGATTTTTGTTATTATTCTCAATATTTTTCAGCCCTTGTTAAGCAAGGGACCTATACTGTTTAACTTGAAAAGAATCAATGTAAAAAAGCTATAAGACAAATCGTTTTAGGTGCAGTAAATGTGAATCAAATGTTATCCTCATACTGTGATCTTTTAAATAATAAGTTGTAAGATGCTCATTTCTACTGTGATGATTCCACTGTCATGTTTCTGATTTCTACACAAAAAAAACCTATATGTGGATGTCAAGCCGACGCTTTTGTGGATGAGAAGCTTGTTGTCATCATTATATATTTCTATGTACTGTCAGGTCATATTGACTGAATATTATTAGAAAGAAAAAAAACTTGTTCAATGTCCTCTCTACAAATGTATTTGTAATAAAAATATTTAGAACTGCAATATGTGAACTTTACTTTCCAATAATCAATACTTCTTAAAGGAATAGTTCACCCAAAAATGAAAATTTGCTGAAAATTTACACTGCCATACCATGTATCATGTAGATTGTTTCTTCATCTGAACAGATTTGGAGAAATTGTGCATTACATCAATTGCTCACTAATGGGTCCTCTGCAGTGAATGGGTGCCGCCAGAATGAGAGTCCAAACAGCTGATAAAAACATTACAATAATCCTCAAGCAATGTAAGTAATCCACAAGCTGTGTGTTTGTAATAAACAAATCCATCATTAAGACATTTTTAACTTCAAACCATTGTTTCTGGCTAAAATACATAATCTTGTGTATAAAATAAGTCATCTTGTCTGAATTGGGTGAGAAATATGCACAGATCAAGCACTGTTTAAATTACAAGTGAAAACAGTCCAAAACAGTTCTAAACAAATATGTGAGAGGACAACAGGAGATTGTCTGTTTCAATGGAGGAAGCGTTATTATGGATTATGGACTCATATTTGGTGACAGACACTCAAGTGACCGTTTAAACAGTTTAAAGTTAAGACTTCTTAATGCTGGATTTGTTTCTTACAAACTTGCAGCTTTTCACACTTTTCACAAGATCTTACCTGATGGACTGGAGTGGTGTGGATTGCTTGTGGATTATTGTGGTGTTTTTATCAGCTGTTTGGACTCTCATTCTGACGGCACCCATTCAGTAATGTAATGCTAAATTTCTCCAAATCTGTTCCAATGAAGAAACAAACTCATCTACATCTTGGAAGGCCTGGGGGTGCAAACGATTTCAGCTAATTTTCATTTTTGGCTGAAATAATTCCTTTAAGCTCTAAAAAGCATCTGCAATTTGGATTGGTGCCAAAGCTAAATAATAAATCTCCCTTACATACTATTTAAGCAGAGCTTGATTCAATACAAGTTGTGGCGTGTCTTCAAAGACGAGGGACTGTGTCTTTCTTAATGTGGACATGAACTTGTATATTATGTGAGAGACAGTGTGTGTTGCATTAGTGGAGATGAGAAACGAATACAATTCTGGAATATCACATAGTTCTGTTGTGTTGTAGAGTGCATAATAAGAGATGTTGATTATAAGGGATGACATTCAAGCATTTCAAGAAAATGCAAACATTGTATTTTTTGTTGTAGCAAAAGGAATAAGAACTCACAAAAAAGAAGTATACTTCACGTTTGTTTTATTTAGTAAACTTAAGTAAGGTCGAGTATACTTTATATTGTAAGTATGCTAATATCAATTTACTAGTAGTATACTTGTAAGCATACTATTTACTTATTGGGACTAAATTGGCCTAGTTTTAGTTTATTAAAGCATAATTTTCAAGTAAATTGAGTACACAACTAGTTCACTTTTAAGGTTTCAAATTTACTGTGAACTATAATACAAGTAAACTTAAGGTATAATGGTAGTTTACTAGTCATATTCTTCTCAAGACTATCAGGGTGTGCTTTCATAAGATAAAATTGGGCTAAGTAAACTAGTTTAATAGTTTGTGCACCTCAAGCATACTTGTAAGCTTTGTAAGTGAGCATACTTATGTTTGACCATTTCTGTTATTTTTGTACTATTCGGTTCCTATTTAGGTATTCCTTTTTATAATTGTTTCTTACAAACTTGCAGCTTTTCACACTTTTCACAAGATCTTACCTGATGGACTGGAGTGGTATGGATTGCTTGTGGATTATTGTGATGTTTTTATCAGCTGTTTGGACTCTCATTCTGACGGCACCCATTCAGTAATGTAATGCTAAATTTCTCCAAATCTGTTCCAATGAAGAAACAAACTCATCTACATCTTGGAAGTTTGTACTATTCGGTTCCTATTTAGGTATTCCTTTTTATAACTGAAATATACTTTTAGCTGTACTTTAAGTAACTCCTATGTACACAGCGGAAGTATGCCAGTTATTTATGTATTACATAATCAGAGACTTGCTTTTGCTATTTGACTTGATGTTTTGTGATGAGGTTTAACATGATATATTCTGGTAATCATTTATAATTGAAGCCATAGAACACACTTTGTAAAATGGTCAATCAAATCATTCAAGTGTTTATATTATGTTCCTTTGTGGGTTATTAGCACTGTGTACAAAAAAAGACCAGGTTCCGTTTCACCCATGAACCATTTACTCTAAGCCATTCCATCTCAAATCTGACTTCTCAAGATAGTATATAAAACATTTGCTGGAGAACTACCTAAAAGAAGCCAGTATATGTATTTATACTGTATATAATGTAACTTTTGGCGCTCTAGCGGTTAATAAACAGAACTGCACACATCCCGCGGAAGAACATTCCAACCGGAGCTACTTCTCTAAGTTTATGTCTATGGCGATTCACGCAGGTATGTGTTACTCCGCAGCGGTGGCGACCCGACCAGCCTACAATAGTCCAAATACAAGTACTTATTATAAGTGTGTACCGTAGTGATTCGGAATAAGACAAAAACGCAGTTTGGAAGATGAATTCATGGTGTACTCGCTTATTATATAAATTTAGCAAATTTTGAACACAGAAAAAGTTACATAGTGCTGCTTTAATAGAATATTCTCTCAAAAGAGTAATAACAACTACAGGGAAAAAAATACATAGAATACTTCATTATACTTTTCTTGATCAAAATATTAAATTCAAATATAGTCCAAATATTTTGTATATCAGCGGAATAT